CGAATAACGAATAATAATAATCACTATGTTACAAATGTTCTAAAATTTAGTTTTGATTGGTATAAGGCTCTAGTCTTTATTATCGTCTTAATAGTTTGGTTAGTATGTCACTTTTGGTAGAGTGACTTAAAATGTCCTTGAGAGAGCGACTGCACAGCTTTCTAGTACTGATAAAAACTTTTCAAGAATGTCATCTACTGTTCTGCTCGCTTTTGCCCCGGTTTACTGTTTACATATCTGTTTTCTTCAATTATTGCTGCATCTTAACATAATATGTAATGCATAACGTAAATTCTTAACTAAATTTTTTTTCTGGGTTTATATTGGTAATCACCAATGTTTCTATTTCTTCCTGATCCTCAGCAATTGAGTCAACAATATCGTGACCATCAACCATTTCCTCTTCGATTTCTCCCCTACCATGTGTTTCTTCTCTTTCATTAGACTGTAGCTTTTTTGTTTTAGATCAACACTTGCTATATCGGAAACTTTTGTCTATTCAACTCAAAACACACCCTTCTATCCCTTTACAAAATATTTCTACCGATGGCCACACACGTGGTATACCCCCCTCCCTTCTTTGTCCATTCCCCTTATTTTTCACTAAAATGTAATATCAAAAATCAATGAAAAGGCACACAATAAATACCCTTTCCCCAAGCAAACGAATTATAAAACCTAATCTAGAACCGCGTTAAACGTGACAACAGTGTAGGAGCAGTAATTTTGTAGGTTGCAGTAGTTTGAGGTTATGTTTGAAATCCTAAATAATTTATTTACCCCCGTCGATTCGTAATAGCTGTAAGAGTCATGTAACTTCTTATAAAACAATTCTGAATATTCGACATTTCAGTTTTCGCAAAAAAATCATTACACAGATTTTAATAACAATTACAGGGTTCGACTATACCCGAAAAACAGAGTAATGGAAAATTACGTTTGACTAACATAAATCTGTCATTACAGGGAATGCCTGAAACTCTTAGGCCAGGTACGCTGTGACGGATATCACTAATTGACGCCGATATATACATACAGCAGTTACATAGTTAGTTTTGGTTAGTTCTGAGTACGTTCTTCTTAAAATGCAGAGAAATTAAATATGTATTTCTATATTATCAAAATCCACTGCGTATTATTTTATCCCATACCTTCCTATCATTGCCCATTTAAGGAGTTGTTTGGTCAGATTGTAAACGGTATTATGATGGCAAAATAGGTTCCACCAATCAAGTAACATCTGATGTACTACGTTTATGGATCGAAGCACTTGCTCCAGTTAAATAACAATCATACTGATACTAACATTAATGGAGTATTCATAATACTTTGTTACAGGTTTCACCCGAAAAATTGAAGAACTATTGTTTTTCAGAAATAAACCTATCTAATTGATATTTGTTTTCTCCATATATTTGACTAGTTTCATTTTGTTCTTTCGTATAAATGTTAACTTAAGGGGTGGCGTAAGGGTTGTAACCCCTAATAAAACTCTCCCCAAAAACCAAAGCACTGGTCTATTCATCCACCTATTACAACATTGCCTTTCTTGATATGCCAACCTACGAGGTCGACACGCCACTGGAATAGTGTCCTTTAAGTTTATTATCATTTCACCGGTCATAATCCCGCCGGGAGTTTTATTTTTGTAAAACAATAAAAGACTTGGTATTCTTAAATGGGATTGCCATTATTGAAAAAAAAAGTGAGGTTAATAATGGCAATCCTATTATTAAGTAGAAGAATAATGGCAATCCCATTAATGAAAAAAAAAAATGAGGTTAATAATGACAATCCCATTATTAAGTAGAGAAATAACGGCAATTCCATTATTTAAAAAAAAAGTGAAAAACAGAGATAATAGCAATCCCATTATCGAATAAAAACAATATCTAAATCATGTTACAATAGCAACAAACAAAGATGGTGATGATGGTATCGTCACATTCACAGGAAATGCCAACGCCCAACCTTCCCGCAGCAGTTGGATCAAGTACGCAAGCGTCAACATCAACATTCAAATTAATGTGAGTAGTTAGAAGACGCTACGAAATTAAACGACGAATTAAACGTCAGCGATAATTTAATGATCGCTAAAGCAGGCAAGCTTTGAAAAATTAAAACGTGTTTTGTAAATCGATGACATACCTCAAAGAAAATTCCGTATAGGGGAAAAAGAAGAGGTAAGCCATGAAAAATTCAAGGTTTTAAAAGGATCAGGTTTTAATTGTGTCCGCCAAGGACACATCATTGTAAGAAAATTGGCCACGGTGAAAGTGATTGTTGGTATAAGAATGGGAAACCCAAAAAAGACATTTTTATTAAAAAAAAAAATTGTGGTTAATAATGGCAATCCCATTATTAAGTAGAGGAATAATAGTAATCCCATTAATGAAAAAAAGAAGTGAGGTTATAATGGCAATCCCATTATTAAGTAGAGGAATAATGGCGATCCCATTATTAAAAAAAAGAGTGGGATTAATAATGGCAATCCCATTATTAAAAAAAAAAGAAAAACAGAGATAATGGCAATCCCAATATCGAATAAAAATTAAATCATGTTACAATAGCAACCCCGTTGTCTGTTTGTAATGAATTAAACTTCAAATAGTAGCATTTACAAAAATTAAAATTACAAAATAGGGCGAGGACGCTTTCAGAGCAGGATGGCCAAAAGCCACGTATGCTGACTCAGGACGGACGAGCGGCATGCCGTTCCAGCTACGCAGAAACAAAGAGCAATACGACGCACACCGAAGAGCCGAAAGCAACCAACGTTGTAATAGGTGGACGAATCGGTTTTTGGGGAGAGTTTTATTTAGAGTTGAAACCCTTACACCACCCCCTTAAGTTGACATAAATATGCCACTGAACCAAGTTGTAATTGTTATAAAAAAATAATATGTTATAAAAAAATAATAATATGTACCAAAGTATATGACATTTTTTGCGAATGGCCGCTTATGACCGTGTTTCTAGTAGGTTCTACCATTTCTAACACGTTGCAAAAGCCCTTAAAAAATAGCACGTACCTACTTTAAATTAATGAAATAATTAAAATAATCTAAAAATGGTAACAACATGGCTAAGACATACGGATCATTTTTAATTACGTCACTGTATGTGACTTTTTTTTTATTGCATGACGGGCGCATCAAATTTTGCATATCGTTCGCACGTCCTTTTATGTGCACATCTCATGGTTATAACCGTCTACTAAAAACAAGTTTTCACAAATATTAAGTCTGAGCCTCAGTCTGACCTATTTAGATAAAACTAATTTAACAAACAAATGATAAAAGAATGTGGGATGAGACGATATTATATATAATTATTATTATATATAACCTAAAAACTTATAGATAACCAATATTTTGATTTTTTTAATGTTTAAATTACACTGTCATTTTAACATTAGATTATTAAATTCTGATTTTCATTTAACGTTAAAAATTAAATTAGGCACTTTTTTATAATTGGATTGGAAATAATTTTTCTAAAACCAAAAGTACCAACACTCGTGGCCGATAAACTGGCGAGAAGATATGGTAAGAAAATATTTGCACGAACGTTAATGATCTTTGATAATTTTGAAAATAGACTTACAACTTAGACTTTGTTTCTAACATCGTATTCACTGAAACCACATTTAAGGATAGCGATAAGGCCCACATAATAATTTAATAAAATTATCTGCAAACTATGCAGTAAATTCTAATCCAAAGGACTTAAAACTTAACATACGGAATTGTCGACTTAATTAAGAAAGCACCTCCCAAGAATGTTACAACACTATGTGTTGCATATAATGTGATTTAGTTAATTTTATATAGCTCCTATATCGGCGGCTATATACTAACACAGTTAATACTAATTTGCAAAAGAAATCTGTTGTTAACAAGTTTTTTTTGCACAGAGTCATTATCTGGCATTAACACAGAAATTGCCAATTCAAACAATTTAGAAAAACAATCGAAACCTTTCTTATCCGCTGAAGGCAAAAAAGAATTACTACAGAAAAACTGGGAAGCATTTATATATAATTTATATGGAAAAATTAAGTTCAATTCAATATAAATTTCCGAAATTTCAGAAACAGACGTTAAGAAAAACGGTTATCTGCAACATGTTTTTTGCCTTTTTCATGAGAACATGCTTGCTTTTCCGCTAGTTTTCGCAATGCAACTGTGTGATAAAACAAAAAGTTTTTTATAAAAAAAAAGGGTTATATTTCTTAAAATTATTTTTTCTACTCCCGTCTGTAAAATACCTAATTACGCACCGATCTAGCGTGCGGGAAGAGCCACTTCTGGATTTTACCGCACGGGTTTGGGAGCAATCGGATGTTTTCGTAGATTTTACCCATGCTTTGAATTTTGACGTTTGTCAATTCTGACAGTTATGTCGGTGAATGTATTCATGTTGTTTTACGAAAATGTAGCCAAAAACTAACGGTCGTTGAAAAAATATAGTATGCAACACGTTCGGTAAACTTTTTAACACACTCGTTTATTAAACACTCGCTCCGCTCGTGTCAAATAAACTCGTGAGTAAAATGCCGTTTACCGCACTTGTTGCATAATATACTATTAAAGATCAGGAACAACCTAGAAGAATAAGCGTTATGAAAGGGTTATATTTCTTAAATTTATTTTAAAGATCAGGAACAACCTAGAAGAATGAGCGAATTTAAATATTTAATACAAGTGTTATTTGTTCCTACCGAAATTATATAAAAGCGTAAAAAAGCAACAAACTATAATTAATTCGGAATTAACGAATTAACAGAGGGTAACCAATCAGCGCAAGGCCGTCGTCAAATTTTAAACCAGCGTTGAAAATCGGTGGTGATACAACCTTCGTCACGGAGTGCCGAATGTTGTTATTGTTTCTCATCAAATCATGATTAAATTGACAAATTTTCACGTGTCATAGTTATATCTGGACTTGTGAAACTGGGTATTGCCCATACCAAGTTGACAATTACAACCACGACTTACCTTTGGGATTTAACCTCTCGGGATTAAACCAAGCATCTGAAAAAAAGAAGAAAAATTTTAGGGGGTTAGCAATGGTTAGTATATAGGTTTACGAAAATTAAGAGAGGCATATAAAAGGTTAAATTAAGTAAGCGAAAACGCCACCAATATAATATAAATAAACATTACATCGCAAATGCACAAATATATGTACAACGGTTTCCATTTCATAATTTCAAAATAAACTCGTACTTTTCGTCACGGCTACGAGCATTACTATTATATAAAAAAAAGTTTACATTTTAGTTATTTTTTCTTTCTTTCTTTCTTTAATTCCATTTTTTAGAATGTAATCGTGATAAATTAACCTTAAGGTAATCTTCCAGGAAAGTCTATATATTCGGTCCACACGTTCTAGATTCCTGCAGATATTTTCAAAAATCCATACGAATCAATCGAAAAAGTCAAAGCATAACTTTTTATACAGACACAATAGGATCGGTAGAATATTTGTGACCTTCGATGTGATGGTAAGTTATATTACTTACTGGGTTACGTCGATTGAATTACACATTCCCAAATTTTTGCAGGAGCTTACCAAAAGAAAAGTTTATTATTGCTAAAATGCGATAAAACCGCAACGCTTTACCGTACGAACGCTTAAATTTGCATTAAAATAAATATTTACAACGTTAAAAGCCCACTTACTTTATAGACTGGCAGTAAACAGGCCCATAAAGTATTGGCGCAATTTTTTTTCCTTAAGTTGCGTCAGTGCCTTTCGAAATTTGTGAACTGTATAAAGCAACTTGAACTAAGACATTCCAAATAAAATTGTCTAATTCATACTTTATTCATCCTCTATTTTCAACACCTAGTAACTGTAAACAATTAAATTCATTCTTATATTGGCTTAAAATTCTGCATACATCCTTTTTATTGTCACTATTAAATATCCTACAAATGCGTTAGACAAAAAAATCTCACAAAAAAAATTATTACATATGCCCTTTAGTTAGCTATGTTATAGTGCTTTCACAGATAACTGGTTTTGTCTTGTTGAACGCAATAAGACTATTTGTGCCGGTCCCATTGTCTAGAAGTGCTTCGCAATAAACAGTGCAGGGTCGGATAATTATAATGAAATTCCAAATGTTTAACAAAACAAGTTTTAAAATATTACTTGTGCCTACACTTATATATTACTATATACATATTTACATTATTCTATAGACTGTCCTGTGTCTCACCAAGTTAATAATAATCTGTTGAACAATATGATTGACAGTATTTTCGACAGTAATAACATTGACAGGTAAGCAATAAAACTTTTTTCACTATGGTGTTCTGGTTTTCAAACAATCTACATCAATAAAAGTCAATAAAAGAAGGGTGGGTAGGGTGTTATATTAAATATCACATATACACACCACTATTTTGCTGATTACCGCTTTGAATAACTCAATATGGAATGATTAAAACCCAAAAAACACAACATACAGCTAAGCTACCTTGGATCAATACAGAGGTGATTAACATCCCGATTAACATCGCCTTTCATTTGTAATTAATACGAAAAATAATTTAAACAAATTGTAAAAGTGATAACTGAAGTGTTGATGAAATAATAATTATTAATTCGTGATTATTTTCAAGAAAACACTTAAGTAAATAATAGATAAGCTACTAGGTATTTTCAGAAAATGCTACTTTAGTTAATTATATAATTAGAGTAGTAGAACCTAGTAAGTATTGCAATACACTTTCAATAAATTCTGCAAAAAAAAATGCCTACAACTTCCGCAAATCGACCACCACAAAGTTTCATTTGGTACCTAAATTAGAACTTTATTTGTTTTGGAAACCTGCATTCACCAAATCAGAGCCAGCGGACCAGTGTAATTTTCGTTATGATCAACTTAGCCGACCTACTGGTACGGCTTTTAATCTGATACCGATCATCGTAGCACTTAAAATGGGAGAAGAATTTTGTGACCTAATGCTTACTAATTTTAGTTTATATACATACAAACACACACTCTTTTTTGCTGAATGCTTTCAAAACTTCTAAAAGCTCACTTTGTTTATGTATTCAGAAAAATATAATTTGCTGCCATCTAGTACTGATTCTGTACTATTTGTCTCTGGAAACTAACCAAATCTACAAAATTAGAAGAGCTAGGTATTTTTAGAAAATGCTACTTGCTTTATTTATCTAATTATACAATTATAATAGTAGACCCTAATAATAATTATCGCAATTCACTTAATAAATTCTGAAAAAAAAATTGCTTAAAACTTCCGCCTCGACTTATCGATCAACACAACCTAAATAAAAACCTCATTTGTTTTGGAAGCATTGATCACCAAATAGTCAGCGGACCAGTGTAATTTTCGTTATGATCAACTTAGCCGATCTACTCATTCGACTTTTAATCTGATACCGATTATCGTAGTGGGAGAACAATTTTGTGACCTAATGCTTAATACCTATAGTTTATACAAATACATACTTTTCTATGCTGAATGTTTTTAAAACTTCTAAAAAGCTTACTTTGTTTTGTAACTGTAGTCAAGAAAATATAATTTGCTGCCATCTAGTGCTGGATTTCCGACTTTGGAAACTAACCAAATCTCACCAAATCTACAAAATTAGGAGAGCTAATCTAATTATATATTTATAGTATTAGAGCCTAATGCCTAAAACTTCCTCATATCGACGAACACAACTTTTAATTTGGTACCTAAATAAAACTTTATTTGTTTTGGAAACACTGGATTCACCAAACAACAGCCAGCGGACCAGTGTAATTTTCGTTATGATCATCTTAGCCTACCTACTGCTTCGGCTTTTAACCCCATACCGATCATCGTAGCACTTAAAGTGGGAGAAGAATTTTGTGACCTAATCTTAGTTTATATACATACAAACACATACTTTCTTTTCAAAACGTCTAAAAGCTCACTATGTTTATCACTTTACCACTGATAATGCAAATTTACAGCCGTAGGTAGCACCAACCAAAACCATTTTTCTGTGAAATTACTATATGTCATCAAAAGTTTAAAAAAATATTTTTGTTTGCGCGCAAATCATCTGGTAAAACAAATACCAAGATCCTATAGACTCTTATAAAGTATCCAAGCTTGTAAATATCAGTCAGTACATTGATATGTAGAATCAATTATATTTGATGGTCTTTGCTGGTATTCCAAAATTAAGAAAGTCGAAGAAAAAAAATGATGCAATTCCGTCATTTCTATATTCCAGATAAGATGTAAAATAAAAACAAAGTAAAATAAGTTATAGCCAATTGTCAATCCGCTACCAAATGACACGGAAAAGTGCACTTTTGTTCTGGCATCCTTGCTGTCACCTGACAGTATTTGGATTTTAAGCATTATTTCTTGTACTGGGTACGTTTTGACTGCAAAAAGTTAGATTTGACGCCAATCGTCGGAAATTCACAGTCCAAGCGATGAATAACAAAATGCATCCATTTATTACACAAATTATTATTGGACTTTGATGCTCCATACTCGCCGTACTTCCTACGTTTTCGGTCATGTTCGTCAAAAACACAACGCTTTGTTCGGATGCACCTTCTCGCATGGTCGCGTTAGCGATAGAAAACCTGTTCGCCGTGTGCATAACCAAAACCGTATCACGTGTCCCCGCGATAATAAGATCTCATCAAATAAAATACGCGACCTTTGTCGCCACGACAGCGTAAAAAGAATACACGACATATACATACTTGGAGTAAACATGACGCACAACAAAGACCTTTGTTGGGCTTTATCACCGCCGAAACTTTTCACGGGGCAACTTTTCGAATTGAGTCCGTTGAACACGTCATCGACCACCTCGTTCGCCACTTTTTTGAGCTCTTCCGCCATTACGATCCCAGTTTGAGAGACACGCACACACCACAAAACAATCGATCGCTAGAGGGTTGCTTTGTTTTCTGACAGACGCCGGCCGATTCGCGATAGCTTCTTATCACGGACAGACGAGTAAACACACGCACGAAACCAACGCGATTTGATTGCTATGAATAGACACAGGAAAGTACGCTCGATGTTATTGTGGTAAACAATAGGTGCTAGCAAAAAATTCTGTAGACGAATGCACGGATACGATAAAAGTTTGGGCAGGCGTACCCGACGACGTTATCGATTTGACAGCGCTTAAAAACAGTCCCCATATACAAGCTTAATCGAGTGGCATGGGAGTAGCTTGAGGGGGGTCAAGAAGGGCGCGATACGCCTGTGCAGCGGGCGATAAATGTTACTAAATGCTATCATCAGTTTCAATAAAAATTAAACTTTGAACCCGGTACGATTGTTACGGCGCCGAAGTACGGACTCCTTTGGGTTTATTATTAGATTTGGAAGGTTGGCGAAAATGACAATGCCCTGGTCTTTTTTATTAGGCGATGTAACGAAAGCCCCGTTTTTTTTATTGCTATTTACGTAACGGTAAGGACGGTAAAAATTTTGTATACCATATACAAAGTACAAATTGGAGCCAGGGCGTGATAATTGTTATCAATTTATTACGTCAAAGTTTAGTATTGGATAGCTACTAACGAAAGTATAATCCTCGGCAATATCACCAGAAAAATTTGAGATGGTTTTTTAGTTTTATTGTCCAATTTTTGTCATATTATGATTTATTTCCATTTTTACGCGTATACGCCATAATATTATTTTAAAAACCAGTTCGGTGGGAAAAATTTATTATTTTATAATATATGTACGTCGCTTTCCGGATGATGATTCTGCGTAATATTATCATTTATGGTAAACATGCAATTGTACCCATATAAAAATTAAACCAACGAAAATTTATAACCGTTATGATACTCGACTTTATATCAGGCTCACAAGTTTTTCGCGAAGTTGGTCCTGTATAAATATTCATTTTTTCCAGTGGCGTGTGGCTTTTTTACTGTTGACCGCTATAACTAGATTTATTGGCGATTTTATAATTTAATGTTAACGCACTTGGGAAGTAACACTTGTAATATTCATATCGAGTTTGGGTTATATTATATACTTGGTCCAGACTATACCGAAAACATCATTTTAATTGTAAGACAATTTTAATTTATTTAATACATTGAATTATTGATTTGAATTTGTTGAATTGATTCATTAATTAATGATAATTAACTTCAACCTAAAAAATATCTATCGTTAATTTGTCGTAGTCAAATATGTTTTACACGAACATTCGTCATGTATAAAGGAAAAAAAATATATAACACCAATGATATGACATGAAATAGACGAGCACGGATGTGAGAATTTTTTTGAAAACTCTCAATTTGGTACCATGACGCAGAGTGATGCAGCGGATTTCCGTTATGATACCTATAGAGAGACCCGTTCCGTATTTGGCATCACAAGCAAACATTTTCGTATTTGCGGTGAGAATGTAACACAAGGGTGGCCCGAATCATTATGTATTACTTATAAATACTGTAATCACCTATGACGTCTAATGATGACAATGAGCGTCGCCGCAGTTTGCTGACGTCGCGTTAAAATGAGCAAAATAAGAAAAATACATGATTTATCTGTGTATAGGAGAAGTTAAAAAGTACTCTAAGGGGCGATTCCTTGTGAGATTTTAACTCAAAAATGTAAATCATAAATATTTTAATAAACTTCATAATAAATATATAATATAATAATAATAATAATAAATAAATGCAACAGTTTCAGAGAAAATGGTTATTTCATGAAAATTCACATTTATTTGTGGAGTGCTGGAAAAGAAAATAGGAGGCCTGTGTTGTTATTATTGACGACAGGTATTATTGACGACAGGTATTATTGAGCAATTTCATATTTCCCTATAAACTGACTTTCTGCTGTTTAAAATGTTACAATGTTAAGAACACTCTATATGGGTGTGACCGATTTCTTTTTATTTGCATTGATGCTTTGCAAATGGCTAATTCAAATTTTGAGCAATTTATTAATATTGTTCTGAGCTTTCAAAAATATATCTCATAAGAGGTATTTCAAATACAAAGCGTATGTTGTTGTTAGAGAAATTGTATGAGAAATTGGGTATAATATCATTTAATTTTGCTCTTGTTGCATCTTATATAACCCACAAACAAAAAAATTACATTAAAAATATATGCTTTATATTTGGCAACAAACTTAATGAAGTTTGGCAAAATCTCAAACGATAATGGGCGACGGGTGACGTCATCGTTATGTTAACCAATGAAAATGGTTATAATACAATTGCACGCAGCCGCAAAAGTTTTGTATTTTAGTTTTTAATATATTAGTTTTTTGTATACAACTACTATTGCAGTATTTAAATGTTACCATATGTAGGAGTTATTTTATTGAATCGTAACAGGAAGTTTCGAAAATGTAGATATAAGCTTTGAGTGTTCAGAATTCAGGTAAAGAATTTCAGATAAAGAATTTTTATTTAATTTGAACCACTTGCAGGGAGTTTCAAAACGAATACGAAAAAGTTAAGGGGGTGAACCATTTTTCAAAATAAAGGGTTGTTTGTTATATAAACGTTGTCTCAAAAGCCGACCACTAGTTTTTATTTTTTATCTTAAGAACAAAAATAATTAGAGAACAATAAAAAAATGAGTGGAGCAGATTGAATTAGACCGTCATTAAAAAAAACTTACTAAAAGCTTATGCAATGACAACAAAATATATTTTTTTAATTTTAGCCTCATTTAGAAATTTTTATCTCCTGAATTTATTTCCAAATAAAAAATAAAATGAGATTAAAACATTGATTAACTTAACTTAACCTAAAAACTAGTGGGCTGCTGTCATGTCTTAAAGGCCATTGTTATTATTGCTTTATAGGACATTGAATTTGAATTTGAATACAAAATCCGACTAATTTAAGCAAAAATTTATTATTGTCAATTGTGCAATAATATGACTATTAATTCAATAATGGTGCAGTCTGTGCAAAATATTATTATAGGGCAACCGTGGACAAGTATTAAGAAAATTGCAGCAGAATTAAATACAACCCTATGAAAAACAACAGTTATATCCATACGACGTAAATAGCGTTAAAGCTCTTTTACCAATATATATCGAATTTAGAACGATTTGTTTTCCGACATGCAATAATTTTATTTTCTTATTTGGAAACTGTAAGCTTTATTAAAAAATATATTATTGTTCTATCTATATCAGTTTTTTCGATAAAAATATTTTTCCAGCCTATTTATAAATGGTCGGCTTTTGACACAATATTTATAGAACAAACTACCCTTTATATTAAACAGGAAATCACCCCCTTAGGATTTTCACATTCGTTTTGAAACACCCTGGATAATTACGAAATTTGATTTTTATTGCCGATTCGTTTATGGATTTTCCAATTCCAATTCAAAAGATCATATCGGAATTGAGGAAGTAGATTGCGAAAAGGTAATAAGAAAAACCATGACAATCTATTATCTAAAAATTGTACTAAACGATAAATATTAATTTGACAAATAAAAACAAATGAATGGTTTTCAAATGTGCAGTGTATCCCGACTTCTTCGTACTCTTTCTCTTTGTCTTGCTGAAGTATTTTGATAACCAATAAAGATACACACTTCTAACTTGGATCTTATCGGACTACTATTTGAGAAGAAATTTAACACGCAAGTGATATTTGATTCAGATAATAATGCCTTAGTTCAGAAAAAGTGGTATAGAAACGTGAATCATAACCATAAGAAATGACTATGTTAATGGGCATAAAACGTACAGAAAGTTGCCAAAACATAATTTTTTGAATATTTGTTTAGTTATTTATTGTTATTTATTTATTGTTCATTCATTTATTTATTTTCAAAATATCCATATAGACCATTATATAAAACAAAAGCTTTGAGAAGAAGAAATTGAAAGATATACTCAGACCTGCAAACCATTTTGATATAAAATAAACTTCGTCGTAGATTTATAGACGTTTTATTAATTTGCATAATTTATTTTGTAAAGGGTGGTAATATAAATACTGCATTTTCTTTTACAAATTTCATCCAGTAGACAATTTAAATAAAAAGGTTTTTGTTTACCTGCATTGTTAAAGCATTAAAAATAAACAATGCCTTTCATTAAAAACACGATTAGTTTTACATATCAAAATTTGTGACTTTTGAAAAAAACTAACTACGCCACTGGATCTTGCATTGAAAACCTTACCCAGACCCATAGAGAAGTATAAATTCCGTCTAAAAATGCGAAACTTTCAAAATCGCCCTGTATCTAAAACTCCATTTCTGTGTGTATCATTCATATAGCAACAGATAACATATTGACCCTAGTGCGGCTACCATATTTTCAAAAACTAACTCAACAAACCATTAAAATTTTGTATTAAACTTCTCCATCTCTGCTGGATTGCCAGACAGTATAGTGGGTGGATTTATGTAGAACAGGGTGTATAATATTGAATAACATATCTGCGACGTAATTACCCATTTTAACTAAGTACGACGCGGGATATGGTTGTTTACTTGTTTCATTTTATTCTATTTAAATTGCATTAGCAAAACGCCAAAAATAGAATTCTCGTCTATCGAAAACTTACCCAGCCCCATTTTGCAAAACAACGCCTCCGCTTCTGTAATTTTTACAGTTTCCGCCTTGCTTATTTTATCTTGGACGCTGGTTCTCTTCGATTCGTCCTCCTCTTCGCCGGTCGGTGAGGCAGCAACTTTTGTTGCTACCGGTTTTGGATCCACCGGTTTGGGTATATCCGCTGGCCCAGACGGTTCTACCGGTTTCGGGTCTTCCTTCAACTCGGGAATAGGGGCAGAAGGTATGGGTGCGATATTTCTTGTGGGCGGCTCCGGATGTAAATCTTGGACATCTTTAAAGTTTTCGGTCGACTTGAACGTTTCGGTGTAACCGAAACTTTTAGGAAGTTCTTTGGTTTTGGGTTCATCGAATTTTGAAGCTTTGAAATCGTCGCTTTCCGGCTCGCTATCGGTGTAACGATCTAACAACTCGGTACTCCCCGTTACCGACTTTTCTTTGACGTCGCGAATGAGTTCTCTTTCGTTATCCAGGAACGACTTGATCGCACCTACATCGTGTTTTAATTCTGGTTCCACTGGCTTGAAAGGAGCCGACACCTCGTTTAAAAATTTATCCAGTTTCTCGTCGGCTTCTTTTCGATCGGGAAATGGATCGGCACTGGCTAATATATTGGAATCCATTTTTTCTGGAATTAGGATGCGATCTGCCAGACTGTCACCTGCGTGAGCACCGGCAAATTTTTCAACTACGTTTTCATCGATTTTCACGTGTGCATGCGTATCCGCGGCTGACGTATTTAACCCCAAAAGATCATGTGTTTCGTGCAAATCCTTTAAAGGGCTGCTGTCGTGGCCCAAATGTTCGAAATCGTCGAGGGAATCACTTTCTCGTTTTAACAGTTGCTTGAAGTCGTCCGCGGGCACTTCGCGATGTTCCATAATAACCGAAATGTGTCAAACCGAATCACTGTTAAATTTAGAATTTCTAATTTAACACGTACGGATGGAAGAACCGGCCCAACTTTCACCAGAATGTCAAATTTAAGTCAACGAAATGTAAAATTCACTCAACTTTCGATCAAAATGCCCGATTATTCTTTGTCGGCTGTTGCAAAAGTTGAGTTGTTTCCCCTCAACGAGTCTGACTCAACGGTAAACAGCGGAGGGTGGGAGAAGAGTGAATCAGATGCCGGGTCATTGGCGTACGGCCAAATCCTTTCGTGCGTGACGAATTAATCGATAACAAAGTACGAAATATTTCATTTTTTGCGCCGCGTGTGTGTACGCTGACAATTCGATACACTGTTAAATCGATGGGTTTTAAATCCGAAAATCGATTTCATCAAAGCTTATTACAATTTAGACCTTACGAGTATTTAAAATTCGCATATGTTTTTTTTGTAGAACGGAGGTTAGCGTGATACTGGTTTTTGAATATGCACGTGACTTAATTATTATTATTATCATTATTATCATTTTTTTGCTGAGAAACATATAACCTCATCATCGTCATCGTCGACGTCATAACATGTTATCTGCATTTATATTTAAAAAAAAATATTCCTGACAGCTCAGTTTTCATTTGAAAACTGTCGATACGATTTGCCGCGAAAAGGGATAAATATTTACAACTTTGCAAATAAGATAACAAGGCGTTTGAGATACTTTTGAAGATTTGAAGAGTAAAACTTTACTTTTTGATAGTTTGACGACGCATTTTCTTTAATACCAACAAAAAAAAACAATTTGTAACATCAGATAATTTTTTTGTGACGTTCATCACTTAAATTAATATGATATTTAGATAGAAGTGTATCAATCAAAAAAATATATTATTTTGTCACCCATTTCTAAAAACAAATCGTACATATTGTACATATTTTTAAATAATAGTGTCAATACGTATATGCTCAACAACAACAACAACAGAATAACAAACGAACTAAAACTAACCAAATAATTGCTTATTTCTACACAATTAACGAATTGTAAATACTCTAGAATATTGAATGACACTACTTTTAAAAAGCTTAATCTTGAGCTATTAGCCATAATTCTAGTCAGAGTAAAAATTTTACTATCAAACAATGTCAAATAAATCAAGTAAATATCCAATTCACATTTGTTAACGCTTGGCTAAGTTTTTTTGCCCTCCACCAATGCTTATCAATCACGTGAGAGTCAAAATTTGCGGTTTGTTTCAGAACTAGAACCTCCATGCATCAAACGGTCTTAAAAAATAAATAATAATTTTTTTAGACGGGTTTCTGATATTCAAAATTGCCTGCATTGTCTTACAGGTCATCCGATATTAGACAACCAATCAAACTTATTACAAGTTCCGCAACCGCAACGCGCGTGTGCTTTCTAGATCTGGGTTACGTCTTGCAGTTAAACGAAATTTTTGCATTGGTCGGGTAACTTTTTGGAGGTTAGATTTGTGGTGATGATGGAAGTCGGCGGTTGTCAAGACAGTTTTCGAATTGAGAATGGATTTAAAAAGCGCAAAAAGCATCAAAGTTGTAGTAACGTGAGTAAAAAGATTTTTTTACATTGTTTTATTAACAGTAGATGTGTAAATGTGTTTTAGGATTTTATCCCTTTAAGGAATAGCAATAAAACATTGGAGGAAAACCATCCAAAATTGGTGTGTAACAAAATTTTTTACACCACACAAAATGTGAAACCTCTATTCAAACTATCTGCACGATCGATTATACATTCCACTCTTTAATTGAAATTTATTAATGGTTCAATTAAAATTGATAAACCTTGTTGCTTCCCAATTTTTATAGTTATCTTTCGCTTGTCTCTTCAGAAATTGAATTCATACCTTCCATAAAATTTAAATGCTTCAGGGAGTAGAAAATTATTGTAGAATTTGAATTTCATTGTTGGTGTATTTTATGATTACCCAAGTAAGATTTGTGTTAGACAATTTCAATAGGTGAAATAGTAAAAAATGAATACTTTACTTATCATTTTTGGTTTGGTGATGGAGTATGATTGATGATGACTAATTTAGAGTATTTTTTAGATAACACCAGACATACAAAACGAGAGTGTCGGCTTGAAAAATGTAAGTTAATCACGTATATTTTTTATTAAAAACTTTGGCTATCTGTGTTTCATTTTGCAATGAGTGGTATATGTAGATTGCAATGTTTTTTCCTGGTCTACCCTTATTTATAGATACTCAAATAATATTTACACCTTCAATTTTGGGAATTAAAATGATATTAATATATTATAGCTTCATAGCATAGTAATCCTGAATAACAATCCTTTGACATTCTCATTTTGCAAAAAAAAGTTAAGATTTTTATTTCGCTTCAAGTTAAAGTAATGGTTATCCCGATATTATTCCATTGAAAATTTATAGTAATTGATACCATTTTTAGCTAGAGAAATTCTACTTTTTAAGCTCTTATCGATGTTAAAATCTCTTGCTGTATTTTTACACTTCTAAGTAGTACTTTAAATAACACTTTTAATACCATGTCCCCGTAGCATGCATATGCATGCTATATGCTTATACATTTTTTCTTCAAGGTTAAATTATTATATGGGCAAAATATGCTTTTTAAAATTTTTATTTGTGTGCGTAAATTGTGACCAGAATAGAATGCTTTTAAAAAGTTTCAGCTTTGAATGATCTGTTGTTGTTGATTTTGGTTAAGTAACTCGTTTCTGATAAACATATTTTGCGGTTTTAATTGTCCCATTTCTTCCATTGCCGTTATTGTACTAAAAGGCGCTCTGTATGTATATTGACCATTATTTTTATGTATCCTTAATGATCCAGTATTTGAGTTTATATTATATGAAAGTGACATTTACTAAACTTTGATAAAATTCGTGTTGATTTGGACGAAATTTTGCATTATCATTGAAAATTAATATTTATTTAAACATTTGAGAAATATTTAATTAAAATTGCCAGTTATGTGTATTTATGATCAGTGTTTTTCTTCTTCTGTTAATTTTTTGTATTTGTCATAATATGTGTGCTGCTAAACTTTGTCGTATAGTTTGATGGAGCATTTTCGGAAAACTTTCCTTATCCGTTGGCTCACGAACGTTTTATCCTTAAAACCATAAATTATTTTATCAAACCCTGTCGACTTGTAACAATTAATTACGTTTGTGAGACTGGTGTATCTAATCGGTAGATGATGAAGCACATTTTTTCTAAAATTAAATATTTGCCACGGAAAAATTGTGGTACACGCATATACCAACTAGGTGTATAGAGGCCCTGCCTATCCTGATAATTCATTATACGTATGCGAGGCCAATATTAGTTTTTCAGTGACGATTTCATCATGAAGTTGGTTTGTGACTAGCAGAATGTCCCTTTTTGATATTAAATCCTCGTTCCTAAATTTATTCGCGAAATAGAACTTTTTCTAGTTTTTGTCAAATTTTTGCACCAGTTCAGTGATGCCAACTGATCAAATAGCAAGGTTATGTTATTGTTAACTAATATAGCTGATTAACTATTATAACTAATAGACCATAAAACTATTTATAATTAGCGTGATAACACAATTTCGTTAATTTACTTTTTGAAAATCGTTCTAATTGTCGTATTACTCTACAATATTAGAAAGGCTACGATAAGTTTCACCTGTGGCTAGCCAGAATTCTTAGGCTACTATAAGTTTTTTATCTTCTATGCTTTTCATCCTCGAAATTGTGTACATTTGTGAGCTTTGAGACGGTTCAGTATTTTTTCAAACCTTTCTTTTGACATTCTCAAAAACTTTAAACTACTCAGCGTCCTTTTCAAAATCATTTCTTTGGATCTTAGTTAGCAAAAAAATGTTAGCAACAAAGACTGTTAGAAGGCCACTTTTTTTATTGTTCTTGTTTATTTTTTATTTTTTGTCTGTGTTTCAAATAAATAGGAACTATTATGTCACATAACAACAAAACAAACTGCGCTAAATTCGTTACTTTTTAATTTTTACTGTTTTGTCCTATTGCAATGTTCATTACATTGCAACGTATACTTTTAAATTATACCATTTGATTACAAACTGCCAATAAATTATTAAAAGTACTTTTTTATTTTCGTTTATTTTTCTATAATAATAATAATCATCAGACGTGGTGTTTTTTTTTGGTTAACGTTTAAAGGTCTATAGTCAGTCTTATTAAGTGGTTTGTGGGAATCAATCGATGACCACGGTGGTCTGTTAATTGGAAAGTCTTTCATTAATTGCCTATTTACTCGAATGGTATACGGGGTCTAATCCAGAAATATTTATTAAAATTAAAGGGTTAGAAAATTTAGATGTGTAGGTTAAGTTTGAAGAATATTTTTTTAATTCTCTGTTCGGTTGGTTGGATTAATATTAGTAAAAATATCTGTGAACAATTTTTTTTTGTGCAACGCAATAGGAAAAATATTTGTATTCTCATGGAAGCCAATTGTGGTCAGTGGTCACCGAAATCAGTTGCGGTCTTATGAAAGTGTAATTTTTTTAACCTAACTAATTTGGCCACTATGAATAAATAAAAAATAATAGATAACTAATAAAAAATATGTTTCTATTGACTGCAAAATGGGAAAAGTGGGTGTTTTTTTCTTTTTCTAAGAACGCGAACAAAGTCCGAATGCAGCAAATAGGTAATAAACCGGCAGAAAAAATACATAATCAAATAAGTGGTATTATTATGTGATTAAACTTGCTTTTAATTGCGGTAAAATCATTTAACTTGGCAAGAAATATTAGTTGGAGGTGCGTAATTTGAGCCGTGAGGAGGAACGCGACTTTAGGAGGTAGTATTTCTCCGATGATGAAGATTCCTGCTTTTTTCGCGGTATGGTCAATTTATTTATTATTTACAACTAGCGGCTTACTCGAGTAATAAACTAGACTCGTTGATTTCCAGATATTTTGGTGGAAAGCATTTTTATTTTAAACCTTACTTTGCAAGTAAAATACAAAAGAAATTTTTCGGATTAAGCTGACTCAATTTTTTGTGTGAAATATTTAATCTCTAATTTTATTTTTATTTTTAGTTTTTCTATATTTAGTTCTACAGAATTCGACCAGGCAAGAAGGGTTAACCATAATGACCATTCTGGAAGTCTATAATATTTTTGGAAAATAGTATCTAGTTTAAACCATATTCACAAACGCATTTAAAAGTTTCTCTATTTAGCTAAACATTTAAGTATTGCGTAAAGTGATGTAATTGTTTTCATTAGCCTATGCCCTATAAAAGGCAATTATAACAAAGCATCCAAGTTGGGATTTTAACCCATTTGCAGAGCATTAGATATTTCAGCATAAACACGACACCAAATTGTTTAGTAGATAAACAATGTCGGGTGTTATTAGGAGTGTGTGTGTGTGTGTGTATGTACACGTAATAAAGTTTGCACATAAATATTGCGTTGCATATTCCATTACGGAGCGGGAATTTGTTAGAAAATAATTCCTGCGCGACGAAATATGTTATATAATATTGCAAAAGAAAAAATTTGGAACAGACATTTCAATCCCTTCAGTGAACTTAATGAGGGGGTTCAAATGCGACCCTCGCCATTGGAGTCGGCTGTTCTAACAACATTCCGTTTTCAAAATGGTTTTTTTGCCCATTTACTGTCGGATTTCCTCTTACGAAATGTAAAGGTTCCGTTAAGAGGTTCGTCGGCTTTAATTTCCGCGAGTTTATCCCACCTCTGATATAAGACAATAATAGATACAAAATAAGTAGCAACGATGCGAAAGGGACAGACCTCTTAAATAACTATTGACGAAAGTTAATTTTGCAATCAAAGACCTTTGGTCCAATTTGTATTTGTTACGATTTGTTCGTTCGGATTTTTATGTTTGTTCGGTTTGCAGGGTTATATCAAAGAGAAATTTCGCGATCAACATGGACACCCGAAAACCAAAGTGCTGCGAGAATCGTTCGAACCGCCCACGTTTGTCACGGCCGCCATGACGCAAATTAGTTTTTATATATTGATGTTTCTCGGATTCCTCAGTCAGCTTTTGTTTCCCCCAAAGTTGGTGAAGGAGACGGGTAGAGCTGGATATCCGCCCCTATATGATAGGTAAAACATTATAATTTGTGCGTGCAGCGGTATTGTGTATTGTGGTACTCCTAATTTTGATGTCACGTTTTTAAATTTTTATGTTTGTATGTATGTCTTCAAAATAATATGGAAGTTGTTCAAAGTATTTTTTTAAATCTTAAGTTTAATCTATAATCCATTTATCTATCTTTAGTCGATTTAATCAAAAGACATTGTTTTTATTGTGTGTGAAATAATATATGAAAAAGAAGAATTGTTTATCCATCCCATATGTTTGGATTTATTTTGAACTTCAACAAATTGTATCCTGGAGTGTAACATACTATTGCTCACTTTCCAGATTTTCGGCTTTTTACTCAAGGTACGTCTACAGGCGAATACGAGATTGTTGGAATTATCCAATATGTAGCGTGCCTGGCAGCGAAGTAGTGTTGAAGGATAGAGTTTCGAAAGACAACGGTTGGACATTTGAGTTAGTTTTCACACAAGTTTTTGAAATACTTTGCTCTGATGTACCTTCTTTTTGGGTAGATTTACCGGTACCAAAACGAAATGCCTTAACTTAGCTTCCTACAACTATTTGGGCTTCGCCGAAGCCTCTGGTCCTTGCGCTGAAGCGGCTATAAAATCCATTTACGAATATGGAATTAGTACAGGGAGCACGAGGCAACAATATGGAACTTGTGCTTTGCACGATGAGTTGGAGTCACTAATGGCAGAATTTGTTGGTAAGGATAAGGTTTCTATCTCTGTGTTGTATTCCTTTGTTTAGCATAAGCAAGAAAAATAACAGTATAGTGATGAGTATGAACCTAGTTGTTCAATTCTAGTGTTGCAATTTAGCATTTTGTGTTTGCTTTAGGTGCTGAAGATGCAATAACCTTTGGAATGGGCTATGCAACAAATTCATTAAATATCCCCACTCTGTTAGAACCAGGTTGTTTGGTTATCAGCGACGAAAAAAATCATGCTAGTTTGATTTGGGGTATTAAACTTCAGAGTGTAGTTGTAAAGGTGTTTAAACATAATGGTGAGTTGGAAAGAAAGATTTACCATTACCGAGGAAAATGCGTTGCTATAATTGCTAGATGTATCTCATTTGGAAGATCTGCTTAAAGAAGCAATATATTATGGGCAGCCTGATCAGCCGACGGGTGTATACAAACCATGGAAAAAAATTCTTATAGTTGTCGAAGGTGTTTATAGTATGGAAGGTACAATTGCCCGTCTTCCTGAAATCATAGCACTGAAAAAAAAGTACAAAGCTTACCTTTACTTGGATGAAGCCCACAGTATTGGTAAGATTTATTTGGAGTTGTTTTGTTGCAATCGCAGAAAATTCGGTCTCAAAGTAGATTTTAAGGTGCTATGGGAAAACACGGTAAAGGAGTTGTGGACTATTTTAACTGTGATCCTAAAGATATAGATGTTCTTATGGGTACATTTACAAAAAGTTTTGGGAGTGCTGGGGGATATATTGCTGGCTCTAAGGTAACACCTACACAGACCAAAAACATAAAATTATATCACAAAGTCTTAGTACAAGAGGAATGCTGGTTTTAGAAATTTTACTTTGCTTTTGAAAAATTGAAATAAAGATTATAACTTCAATATGTTGTTATAGTTTAACACTCCAATTTTAAAAAATGCACAATGAAATTACTACTTTTAAATACTTGAAATGGCGGGTGCTAGGTGGCTACCACAAAATCATTTCTTCAATTGTCTTTAGTTTTTATAATGGCTCACTGATCATTTCGGCAATTTCTCTTGGTCACTAAAACTGGTTTTGTAGAACTCATCACCATACAAATGGTTTTATTTGTAGGAATTAATTACATATCTGCGTGAAGAGAGCTATGCTTCTCAACATGCTTGGGCCATGTCGCCTCCTTTGGCCGCCCAGATCATATCAGTTTTAAAAATATTAATGGGCAAAGACGGAACCAATGAGGGACAAAAAAGAATAGAAACGTTGGCGAGGAACACTAGGTACTTCAGGATGAGGCTAGAACAAATTGGAGTAATCATTCATGGGAATGAAGATTCGCCCGTTGTTCCTTTGTTGGTGTATCTCTACTCAAAAATTGCGTAAGTGTGGGCAAAATAATTTGATACATGAAACTTTAAGAAAAATGAAATTTTTTGTATCACACTATTGCAGGATTATGGTACGAACTCTCATAAAAGAAAAAATAGCAACAGTTGGTGTAGGGTATCCAGCTACTCCGCTATTCGAAGGTCGAATCAGGATCTGTTTGTCGGCCGGTCACACCAAAGAGCAATTAGATTACGCCTTAGATGTCATTGATAGAGTGGCAGATGAATGTGGTCTGAAATATTCAAGAAAACCTCGCGATCTAACACCAATAGACTATGATAAAATCAAGGTTTATTCTCATATATGATAATAGAGGAGTTTATCTCTATTTTTTTCAGAGTTTTCAGCTCAGTATTTTATTTCTCAGTATGTATTTATTATTTTCGTCTTAGTAATCTTATTAATTAATTTTTAAGTGAAATGCGGGAATTAGCAGAGTTTTATTTTTATGATAAAAATTTGTTTTAACTTATGGGGACTAAAAAATCTCAGGTTTTTATTACCTGCAAGAAATGAAATATATAATTAATTTGATATTAAAAGTGAGGAATATTAATTTTAAAGGGCTATTAAAACTATTATTGCAGTTTATTTTTAAATCGCTACAAAACAAATAATAAGCAATTTTGTTGTTGATAACCAATCAAAGTTTTGTTTGTGATCTGAGTTTTTGATTTTTCCCCTACCAATGGGCTTGTTCAATCGTGCACAACTTTTGCAAATAATCACTAAACAGGATGGCTTTGTTGTTGTTTCTCTTTGAGAAATTACCATTTTGCTTCCCACATTCGGTAGTTTATGAAGTAGAGCCCGGAATACATTAATTAAAATCTTGTCAGACAACAAATGTATAGTCTAGCACAGTTGTCATAGTTCTACATAACCATAAAATAAAATCCTGCGCTGAGTAGAGGCATCATAATTTTTCGTCGCTGTGATTGATGTTGAACGGCTGACCTAAATCATCTTCCTGCATCCTTCAGCAGATATTGATATTACAGTTGTGCACATCTGAACACTCCCATTGATTTAGTTTTAACAATGTCTAAAACAAAATTTGGATGGGGATCTGTCACAATAGACTCAGAAGTAACAACCACGTTGAAGTTAATGCTCATACTATTATAAAAAGTAGCAGTAATAAAGAGATCCAATTCGCAGCATTTTTCAAAAACCAAACATGTTATAACCTGGGGGGGGTCTACAATCAAAATTGTCCTTTTATTTGTTGTCAACTAGGCTAGATTGTTGAAGCATAACAAATGGTTCAGTTTAATTTGAAATGTTGAGCATTTTGTTTATTTTAGCTATTAGTAAAATTTTATAAGCGCACCTCACAGAGCCCTGCTTTTAGCAGTCTCCTCACACAAACTATATAATTATTTAGTGTTAGTTTTGTGGCGTTATTACAAATTATATTAATTGTTTATTGCAAAGTTTGGTAGGTGCGCTTACATAGAAAAAAATTCTAACACTGTTCAATGAAAACAACCGACAAAAATCTGGCTTGCTCTGCACTAAAAATACTTGTTTTGTAGGGGCAGGCAAGAGTTCGATTTTAGTTAAATAAAAACATCGTTTTCGATTCTTTATTACACTTTCTACAGTCAAAGTGGTTTTTGCATGATTTTTGTATCAAATAGGCTGAATAGTAGGCTTTTCAAAATACCTAAAGTTTATAGACCTATTAAAAACAATCATGGACCATGCTGTTATAGATCAGTACACTAAAGCCTAATTTTCTATAAAGTTCATGATATTCGTAATATTCATGTAATTAAAGAAAATACAAGACTCCTCGGTCATATTTGAAATAAAGAGAAAGTTTTACAATTGTGTAATTTTCTTTTGGACGCATTTTCTGCATCATTATTGTCCAATTGCTCCGAACTAATGTACCAAAATTCCAGCGTTAAATCGTTTTTCCCTTGCACGTATTTGCCTGCATCAGAAGTTTATACATTCAGTCCACATAGATGACTAAAATATTCGATTTGTCATAGAAAAAAGCATAAATGCGGCCAACTTGGTGGCCGAATAACGATAGTTAATAAAGAAAGCCGATTCTAGGAAAAACCGTTGCGAAACAAGATTTACTTGGCGTCGAAGTGAGTTAATTATGTATCGCATCTGCGTCTGAAACGCTGATTCTGAACATCTTAAATATGTTATATCTACAAGTACTGTTATTTAAAATTTGATAATTGCTTATGTGTCGGTTAGGCTCTTTAGTACCTAGTTCAGGTTCAGGTTATACATATATCCTTTTTTTCGTATATGCTGTCGTAAATTTTATATCTACAGCAACAAAAATAAAACTTTATTTCAGAGCCATACTAATCACTTTTTGATTTAATTTTGAAGAACTGAAATTGGAATAGAATCGTACTTCAACTTAAGTTAAGCTCGCTATATTTTACATCGAGTAAAGCATCGGTATCCTGCAAAAATATATTTAAAATTAATAGCTATTGCAGGTAACTCAGGTAACAGGTATTAAAGGTTGGGATCAACACCACAGAATAACTTTGTGTATTCTATGGTGACTTTTTGTTGTAAGAGTATTCTGTGGTTGAAAGTGTAGTCGTGTGTTGATGCGCATGTACTTTCAATAAATAAACTGAGCTGATTAGTTTCAGTTATTACACCTTTTTTGTAAAATCTGTTTAGGTGCAGTGCTATTATGCATAGCGTCCATGAAACACATTTAATGTTGATGGTTTAATTGTTCATCGTAGAAACATTTTGAGGGCTGTAAAACAAAACAATTAATGCCAGAAAACTACTTAAATGATGAAAAATGATCTGTTACATATTTTTTTATTCGAAGAACTCATTAAGGATCATACGGCAATGGATGTGATTTAAATTTTATATGCTGTTTTCCATTTTTTTTATATTTAAAACAAACTTTTAAGAAGATAAATTTCTCGGGTTATTGACGTGACCATTTAAATAAGCAAAATAGGGGGCCCAAAAAAAGAATCGAGGAAGTCGATTAAATTTCAACATCATTTTTACTGAATCACATTTTCAGCATGTTTTCGAGGCGCCAAGTTTCTTAACACATGAAATTGAGGTGACTAATTCATTCATATTAGTTTTCGCGGAAGCGAAACTACTTAGGTATATACGCAAACAATTTTTTTCATGTAGTTCCATTCATGTTAGCGTCTATGATTTTCAGTGATTCATTGATGTTTCTGAAAGTCGATGAATTACTAATAATTTTCGTACGATTTTGGACGATCTAGGCCTTTTCTCGTTTGATTTGAAAATTCGCCGTCGAATGTATCGTGTGTGTGATCGCGTGGTGAGTACATATAAAATAGCAAAATCTGAAATTTGAATTTGATTTTTAAAATCCACAGATATGCCTGTATTGTAAAGAAATAGGTTAATAATGGGTATAATTAGGCAGTGTAGCCTATATTAAAGGAACAAGAAATAGAAGAAGCGCGCAATATGGTACAAATAATAAAAAGCGAGTTTGTGTTGTTTGATTAAAAAGTAGGAATTATATTATGAAATAATTTCCCTGTTAAATAATAAACTAAATCCTGAAAAGCTCCAATTTTAATTTGCTTCATTGATTTAAACAAATCTTTTCGTGCACCTTATTGCACCTAAACGGCCACTTGGAATATTCTGTTCCAAAGACAAAGGGCCCAGACTGAATGGGATAAATGTTAAAACAAAGTGATAAAAAAATAAAATCGAAATACAGAAAATTCAATTTTAACGGAATATCATCAGGTTCGTCTAAACTAACTAACCAAAACTAACTTGAGCTTTCCTCTATCTTTAGATGAATTTTAAACGCCCCGTAAAAATGCAATATTTTGTTGATAGTTTTTTAGAACTGGAATATTGATAATGGCACAAAACCTTTGATGGACTTCCCTTTTTGGTTCACTATAGGTACATATAGATTTATGATTGTTCCATGGATATCCATGAGATGTGATGTGATGACAGTTCTACGGATATGAAAAACATACGTCCTTTGTTCGTATTTTTCTGATATCAATTAAATTATTTCAATCCGACAACCTTAAAAGGTCAATTTCTTAATATATTTATTTGGAAAAAACATAAGAAATACAAGAATACTATTTAATAATTAATTCCCTATTTCATAGAGTTTAGATTTAAGCTTACTAATTGATACTTGCCATAAATCGTACTCTGAGAGGCTTTGATTACACACTTTACACATAACAATAATACTATAATAGTGTTGGTATTGTCTACGTAAAAATTTAGCAAATTTCGTGTTATATACGCCAGAACTTGAATATTAATTTGATTTAATAATTCGGGAGGATTAATCATATTTAAAAATTTGTATAAAAAATTTACTGCAGTGACATTTCTACTGTTTTGTGGAGAATTAAGATTATATGATTCTATAACCTATGTCTTTGGTATGTGCATTTCGTACACACCAGTTTCACGATAATACCTTATTTTGAACCTTTACGATTTTATACTTATGAGTTTCATATAAAAGAACAATATTCATGTATAGCTCTGACAAATGTTGTATACAACGTTTTAACACATATTAAATCAAAATTCTTACAATTTCTTATGATAAAACCATACACTCTTGATGCTCTGTTTGTTATATCATTTATACGTGCCCTGAAACATAACTGAGTATCAAAGGTTACACCAAGATCCCGCATCTCCACAACTTTAGCCAACACTGATCCCCCAATTTTATGTTCAAATTCTACTTGTTACTTCTTTCAACTAACGCTAAGCACAAAACATTTATCAGTATTAAAATGTGATTTATTTTTTATAGTTTCGTCATATATTCTCTAATGTCTTAGAGAGTCAATGTAATTTTTAATTATAGCGAGAAATTGATATATTGAGGTTGTTTATATATAATATATATTTTTTTACGATATGTATATTTATTTACTTAGTGCTTTAGAGTAGAGAATTTGAACTTCATTGATGTATTCAATAAACTTTTTTAATCCACTTTTTTTATTCCTTTAAGACAATCTAAAATGAAATTAATGGACGTCCACTATGTGTAATTTGATCTTCGGTGGGGCGTCTTTATTAAACATTTTATGGAGTATCTATTCTGCACACATTCATTTCCGGCATATTAGTGACAATACCAATGTCCATTGTACGTACTATGTATTGTGTTGTGAGGGTAAAGTTTAGATTTGGTTAGTTTAGATACATTTTCATATATGCAGAAATAACCCACAGATAAAAGTTGTATATTTTTAATGGAAAACTATATGGATTGGAACAACTAATGATCCTCGTATTTGAACAAGACGGCGTTCCGTTTCATTGTGTAGTACATGTTAAACATAATTTAAATGAAAAGTTTAATGAATGGATCAGAATAAAATGGAACAATAAAATGGCCACTCAACTGTCCTGACCCGAGAGAACATCTGAAAAACCTGATTAGAACGGAAGTTCAAATTCTAAGTGAAGAATATTGAAGAAAATGAGGGAACAGTTAATCAATTCCATTTGTAAAACTAATTACCTACGTATTATATAATACCTACCTAAATTATAAGTTCTAAAATATTTTTAATGTTGCTTTTAATTTAACAAATATTTCGAAAACTATTGAATTTAGGTATAGGGTATTAAGTTCCAATAAAGTATTAGGATACATTATACGAAATGTTCTCTTCTTTCTGTATGATTGTTGAAATTTTTCATAAAATCGATAAAACTTCTGAAACTTCTGAAACTTCAATCAGAGGTTAGTGACTGGTAGTTCTCTTTGAGCCAATTTAGCCCTCATATTTGGTTTAACAAACGTTTCGAAAATTGATTGTTTCTCTCATAGCGAACAAGGCATTTTATATACGATAAGATATAATATAAATAAACACTTTGCTTTATGGTGACGACCTTCACAGCCACCTAAGATATAAATTATAAATTTTAGACTATTATTTTATTTTTCAATGTCGCTTTTATGTTTATTGGATTTGAGTATCAATAAACTCTTCTTTCAGGCTTTTCGATATTTTTCTTATGGAAAAATTGACATTTTCTTTAACTTTTAGTGAAATAGGCTGAATGTTTGTTAAAATTTTTCATAGATTCGATCAAAGATTTTTTTGTCTGGAATGTTCATTCGGGGGTTAATTACACGTAGTTCCCTTTAAGCCAATTTAGCCTTCTTATTTGCTTTAAAAAACGTTTCTAAAATTTGGGAATAAAGGGAGTTAAAAAACAAAAAAGAAAAGGAAAAATAGTCCCATCGTATCCTTTGAATAAAAAAATTTTCGGGTTACCAATGGGATAATATCCAACTCAATATGAATCATGTGATAGATGTATATCATAATAGATTTGACCCTTTAAAAAATATCTCCATTGTCTACTTGTAAATTTTATGAAATCACAGCCCTTTAAGAGTCGTCCCAAGTTATTTATTGATATATTTGAAATGTTACGTTAAAAAAACGTGTTAATTAATAATTGTTAATATAAAAAAATCAAAACGAGAAATATTTGGCACTTGTTAAAAATAATTCTCGTAATCTGAAAACAATCCGTTTATATTTCGTACAACCTCCCCACTGAAATACCAACTGCTACGTCGAAAGCTTCTCAGAAACCACCTACGGCATGAATCAGTTTCGTTGGCGGCGCTTCACGATGATTGAAAAGCTAACCGACCCAACTTTGAAATCGACAAGCAGTCAATCGCGTGAAGAAACCCTCAGAGAAAACACAGAGTTTCAAAATTTCAACAGTGCCGAGTTACTCACGCATTTGCTTGGGAAAAATACGTCTGCGAATATCAGCAACCGGAAGTGGAAGAACACGGTGATCAGGAAACGGGTTAACGGTTTTAGTGATTCATTTTCGTCGAAATCCGTAAGCAAGGACGAGATCCGTCGGGCGGGATGTTCGAAGAGTTTTTTTGCGAAATTTTCGTCTCCAAAATCGAATAAATACCGGGCGTTGTTCGGGGAGGTTAACAGATTCGTGCACGCCGGCGACTATACCAACAAAAAGTATGGAATTATGGACGAAAACCCCTACGTTCCAAAACATTTGCCGGATCAGAAAGTGAAGGACCGGCGCGATGAGACTTCAGAGGCTCAGTACGGCGGTGATCCGTCGGAAAGGGGAGAATATCTCGAGTACGATGGCTTAGGCCAAAAAAAAATCCAGAGCTACCCGGTTAAAGAAAAAGTACAAGACGTCGATCAAGCAGAAGAGTTTAAAAGTTTTCCGGAAGAAACCCGCACCTACAGAGACCGAGCCTTTTTGTACAGGAACTCAAGCGAAGAGAATAGTTCCGGGATTATTTCACCTGGACATTTAATAGAAGAGGATACCAATGTTAGTGGTCCTTTTTCTGACGAGGAGTTGGTTAATTTTCCCGCTGGCGTTTTGTCCGATGAAACCTTAGACTTCATACTTTCCGGCACCGACAAGAAATTGCATATCGTACCACCCGCTGAGGAAAATGCGGGCGGCAGCAATGAGCTTGATTCTGGATCTGACATGGTGTCGTCTCTTAAAAATATTCGACTGGAAGAGAATTTCAGTGATGAAGAATGTTTTAGACCCGGCGAGAACGACAACGATATGGTATTAGTTCCTTCCGGTAAGTTCATGAATATTCTTTTTCACGATCTAGTTTGCCGGAAAAATAACAGTTACTAGATTCAATCTGAAGTTGAAATTTTTCTTGTAGGCGTAATACCCCCTCAACAATTAGTATAATACCCATGTTGAGGAGGCGGCTATCTTTTTAAAATATTTGTCTTGTTCTACAAGAACTGGGTATTAATATAATTTAAAATAATTATTACAAATGAAATAGATTTATTGTACTCAAGTATTAGGATCAATTACAGAGCAGATAACGTCAGAAAATAATATTGATTTAATCTGACCCACTAATGCACTAAATTGTTATGGCACCGCGAAAATAATCCCTAGTTCCCTGTATAAAATTCTAAGAAAAAAAACTATTTTTTATCACGTTCAAACGACAACTTTTGATGTAAAACATATATTTTTTAATTCCGGTGACGTCCGTACTTTATTTCAAAATTTTGGGTTTTAACATTTTTGCTATAATTATGGCGATTGTGCAATGCATCAAAAAGGTTTTTTTTTCTTGAAATGAAGAGATAAAATGTGTTTCAAATTAAATGCTGATTTTAAATATAATTTTTATTTTTAGGAATAAACTGCGGCGCACCATTTCTTTAAAAATATTCCATACAAATCGGGTCGCACGTCACTAGTAAATTTTTAAAAAATATCTGAACAGCTAAAAAAAATAAATACAAAAAATTATAACTTTTCTTCCGGATTTCAATAATATAAAGTTTGCCTATGTTATTTTCAGTCGTTTTTAAAATATTGACTCTTAAATTGTGGGTGAAATTATAAAAAACTTAAATACATTTTTGTGACATGAATTTGGATTTTTATTTTTATTAATTTTTCTTTAATTATTTGGATTAACAGAACATAACAAAAACTATGATGTAATAACAAATAGCTCAATTTTATTTATTTAATTTAATAATTATTTACTCCATTTCCTCATCTTATCCCCATTACTTATTTATTTATATCTGCTATTTTCTCTTGTATTTTTCGTCGCAACGGTTCCAAGCCCGATCGAAATATGTTTAATGGATTAAGGTCGGGGTTATTAGCTGGCCATCATGTACCAAATGCGAAGTCTTTCCTTCGGTTAGTTCAGATATGTTATGGTGCGCAGTGCGGTCTTGGTGCCTTATAACTTTCATTACATTGTTGCAAAACATTAAGGTGTCTAATTCCAATTGAATTTCCCTTAAGATTAAGAGGACCTATAGATCTATTCTTTATTTAGCTTTGGTTAATTTTGGGCACATCCAACATGAGAAGAGGCTCGTCATTATATTTTAACAACTTGATGTTTCCGTAGTGTTTTGTATTGAACATGCCTGCTGTGCAAAATGTTGCTTCCTGTGAAAATAATATTTTTATTACAAAATCTGTCTTTGGCTTTTTCTGTTCCTCACTTAAATTTTGAACGAATAAATAAATCTTTTTAGTATTTTGTGAAAATTAAAATATTTAAATGAGTGTGAAATTTAATTTCGTTATTTTATCTGTTTCCCTTGAAAGTGTAATAAAATAATGGGGATCCATTTTCATTTCTTGACACAACTAGCTTGTTCTTCTTCTGAATTGGCCATGGCAAAAATAAATAAAAAAAAATTAAAACGTACTTTTGATAGAAATGCAAATATTTTTCTTATTCTAACTTTTGAAGAGTAGGCTGTAGATATGGTGACAAATATTAACACAACGCCCTGTACAAAAAAAATCTATTGCTGCTTGCAATCAGTGTACCAGTATTTTGAAATCTAGAGTGACTTGAAAATTGTGATTTTAACACTCTGATCTCGCAAATAAAAATTGTCACGATTGACTGATCTTCGCCGTTTCTGTATCAATTTTTCCATTCAATTTTTGCAAATTTTCATCATTTTTAACAAAGATTCTAAATTAAAAATTTTTGGAGTCAGCCACATAAACTTAATTTTAAAAAATAATGACCTGCTTTTTTCCAAATAAAGACTTTCTTCTTTTTTTTTAATATATAAAGTTCAATTAATAATTATTTAAAAAAAGCACAACTCGAATTTAGATAAAAAATGACCTTGACCGTTTCTAAAATTACAGGAACCAGATGCAGGCGTGTAAAAAATTAAGTTGACGTAGATGAAGAAGAGGAATAACTAAAATCAGCCTGGACACAACACATTTCTCCAAATTTATTTCAGTTGAAAAAAATCAGCATTTGCGTCTACTAAAGTCCATATTTTTAACCATTTTGGATATTACTCATTTCCTAGTTTCTATAGACCATCTTCAGGATAGATGCCGCCACTTAAGTGGTCAAAATTTCACCAAAACTAACCAAATTTTGAAACATAATTTCAAGAAACGCCCTAATTAATAAGAAGACCTTATCACACTCCTACTAATGTCTCTAGTCAAAAAACTCGTTAAGAATCGTTCGAGATAAAGCGACGTGATTGATAATTTTTAGTGGTAATTAGAAAAACATTTGTCGTTCACTAAATTCCTAGTAGGCTGCGAGTAAAAGCTGAAGCGATTATTTTTAACTGTTTGCTATATGCCGGAGGTGCCGGACTAGAAATATGTTTACCAATAGCTCCGTGATAACGTGTTCGGCGATAGCAAATTACACCATGGTCGAATTCTCGGAGGCTGATTCATCCCGTTCGCTTTACTAAAATTTTCCCGCTCAAATTTTATCGGCAATGAAATCTCTCGATGTAGTTCCAAGAGCTGGAAGTGACTGGTTCAGAAGCACCCAATTTCATTCATGGAATATACGTCCCGTAACGGCCCTCCGGCAAAATACCGATGCTGCTCGCATACCACCTTGTTTAGTCACCTCAAAATATAATTTTTACAAGAAAATTGATTAAACGACGAATAATAAAATTGTATCAGTGTGTGAAGTTGACAACTTCAGGATCTACTTGATTTTGTAAATTTATAGAGCGATTTTCCCCAAACTCGATGGCCTATTCGAAGTATTTCGAGAATAGATAAAGATATACAGTGAACGGCTAAAATATGGATCAAATTGAAGATTCGGATTTCTGCAATGATGATGATCTCCCTTTTTCTATGAGCAAAAGAATAAAAAACATACATTTAATTTTGAAATGAACAGGTAACTAGTACCAGTAAATTAAATTTTTACAATTACATTTGTCAGTTAAAAAGTGAAAGAGAATTAAAATTTTAATTTTTGTTTGTTATGGCGACAAATCGAGAACTGAAGAAGATGTTTGTAATTTGTGTAATGAACAATACCAAGGAAGACCCATCCATCCAAGATCAACAGTCAGTAAAATTGAGAAAAAAATTGTAGAAACAGGGTATGTAAAAGGTCTTCTACGGCCAGGTCGTCCAAAAACTAATGAAAAAACAGAAATTAACATTTTATTAGAAGTTGAGGGTTATCCCATCATTCATCTTCTGAAGTAGCTTCAAATAATAATGTTAAGCAACTAACATCTTTTGAGTGTATTAAAGGAAGAAAAGTATCATACGTACAGTTATGTCAAACTATGATGGAAATGTGCAACTTAAAACCATTTTTTCATCGTCAGATACCGTTTAGTGATGGTACAGTAATTAAAACTGTAGGAATTGGATTACAAATAATTCTCAATGGTGGAGGGAGACTCTTACACAACATCCACAAAAAATAAATATTTGGACCTTATCCAAATGCAAATCAGTCTAATAAAGAGATTTGGTTTCAGCAGCACTGTGCTCCGCCCCATTTTACTTGACAAGTGCGGGAATATTGAAAAACCGTATTTTGGTCTGCAAGATCTCCAGATATTACTCCGCTAGATTTTTTCTTCTGGAGATATTTAAAATCAAAAGTGAAAAAAGAACAATTTCAATTCTCTGGGTGTCATTGAGATGCGCCATATTCAGATCTTTACTGGTAGGTATTACTTATCTGTTCGTTTTAAAATTGAATTTGTCTTTCATTCTTTTGCTCATAAAATGTAACTGTATAGGGTATGCTACATGAATTATGCATGAAACTTTACGTAGAATTCGAAAATTGATTTTAAAAAATGGTGTTCCACTAAAAAAAAGAAATTTGTTACCAGCGTCTACTTTTTGATCCACCCTGTATATTTTCTATAACCAAAACTTTAGAACTTTCTATGTAACATACATAGAATAGCTTGCTTTAGCTATTTTCAGGATAAAAAATTGACGAATACAATTATCTATCTTAATCTGATTTTTTTACAAAGTCTTTGACATGGTTCATCGCTGTTAAACTGGAAATTCCGATTTGCCGGGGAAGGTTCTGCTTGAATGTGACTTCCAGGGTTCCGCAGGGTTCACAGTTGGGTCCTTTGCTTTTTGTTTTATTTTTTTTATGATATAGGACATTTTTTTCTGGACTATCGCCCTTCATTATATTCCGATGCCCTGAAGGTTTCTCAGGTCATTAATTCAAGTCTGGAGATAATAATTTTGCAGGCGGACGTACTTTTTGAGTACTGCGATCTGAATCAACTCCACTTAAATGTCACTACATAATTTTTCTAAACTGAAGGAGTTATTCTGAGAACTATTAAGGGCTTTAAGAACCTCCCAGATTATTTAATTACATTTTATGTATGGTAAGAATTGTTTTGGAATATTCGTTAACATCTTGTAGTCCGAAGTACCACGATTATGTTGATCGAATCGAGAGTGTCCAAATAAAATTCATTAAAGCTACACAAAGATACTATTGTCACCATGATCGCTTGCCTATCACTGCAGCTCAGAAGCCCGAATGATATCTTCTTTGTTTATGAGCTAATAAATAACCTTATCGGTTATGAATTTTGTGTTAACAGACTTTCAGCTGCAACTTTATAACTCTTCTTATACGATGCATGAGAATGTATAATAATAGTGTCAAAGATGATAGTAGTATTGACTTACTATTAATTTAAGTGCCTTTAATAAACTTATGAGGAACAGAATGTCTAATGACATCAACAACACTCAACATTTCACTGAGCTTGATCTTACTTCGCGTATTCATCAGCATGCCTCTAGCTTTATTTTTTATGTTGGATTTTTTTTAGACTAGAGTAATGCAATTTATATGACTGATTTAATGGAATGACTGTTTTAATGGTATATGAGCATATGCAAAAAAAAGTAGATTAAATTGTTTAAACATTTAATCGTTATTCTTTTGAACTTTTTTTCATTAATCGGAGGCAAATTTGGATAGAGCTCATTGAATTTCATGCATTTTATTGCTGTAATCTTATTCTACTTGAATATAAAAGAGCAATAAAAATATCATAATTAATATGCGTCATTAGCATCATGTTGGTAAATAATTTTTTTAATTTTTATCTAAGACGGTTGAAAGATAGTTAATTATTTCCATGATTAATGCACATTTTAAAAAAATGTGCAATTTACAATTTAACAAGTAGTTCTTTTCTTAGCAAAAACACAAAAAAAGAGTTTTTGGTACTAAGGCGAAGATATTTAATATGAATACTACTTATTTTTCGTTTCTAGATCCATTTGAATGGACCGACAACCACATAGAAGCATGGCTCGTGTGGAGTACAACAAAATTTGGGTTGGATCCTCCTCCCGATGTCAGAAAGTTTCCTAGAAACGGGATTGAATTGTGTAATATGAGCCGAAGTGAATTTGAAGATCGATCTGATTCTAGAACAGGTATATATTATAAAATCATTCTCTCTCTTTGCTAATACGTACTCGTTAGAATCATTTTCACACGCCCTTTTGGCTATTTGCCCACAACATTTCTGTTCCCTAAAATTCGAGAATAGTGACACCCTCCCCCGCTACTTGGAGCTTCCCTCGCGTCACTTTACTACTACTTTTTGTATTTGTAAAAAGACAACCCAAAGCGTTTTTAATATCAGTCATGTTGACCTTGTAGTCTAACCAAATTAGTCGTAAAAATGTGGAGAATAGAAGAAATTATTCAGAACCCAATACTTACAATTGACCCAGCAAGAAAAAAAAATAGCCCAATTTAAATTTTTGATGAAGGTTTCGCGGATTTGAGAACCCACACAGCGAATTATCTAGAAAGTTCCCAACTTTCCATGATCAGCGGTTCAACAGAAACTCGCAAAAGATTTTGGTAAATTTTGGTAGCTTATATCCTCCTGATTTACAAGTTGGTCTTTTGTTTACATTTTTTCTGCAAGTTAGTTGTTTTCACTCCTTAGGTGACTTTATCTCCAAAATTTCTTTTACTCTTTTATTTGTCTTGGGATTTATTTCTTTTTTCCCCTTAAATGATTGTTCTAGTTCCAGTTTGCATGTGGAAGATGTCAAAAGAGCAGCCTTGCTAGCTTTTCTTTCACTGATGCTTTTTGTTCAAGAAGTTTTTGGTTAAGCCCTTTAAAAGAAAACAAGGCAATAATTTGCCTAAACATTTAAATGTGTAGCATGGGACCAGCTTTCGTCAAGTGCGCTGTTGAAATTGAAAAAAATAGGCTGTCTATATTATTCGCCTAGTCCAGTCTAGTCAGAGAACTTACTCTAACTAAAAATCCCAGCAAAAATATTTAATTTTTCTCGTGACATTTAACATTGGAAAGAAAATTGGGTCTCGATTCATATTTTATTTTATTTTATTAGAAAATAAGTAAGAAAAATTCATAAAACTTGTTCGAAATGATCGCCACCTTTTTCGAAACAAAGCGACACTCCGCTCTACTTCAACAATCATTTCCAGTAAAGCAGGTTATGAAAAAACTTAAAGAGGCAAAAAAAGTATTTTAAATTGGTTAATCTTAGAAAAGTATCAAACATACAAACAAGTAGTGGTGTAGAATGATTTTTAATGCAAACAATTAGAATACATTCTGTGACGCCTCAGGAATAAATCCTTTCTTTCTGTCTTTTCTTCTGATTGCATTGAAAGTAAAGCAAATGAAAATGTCAAATTTTATAAAAAAGAAAAAAGGTTTTTGAATAAAAAACGATTTTTTAGATCTTAGACATTTGACGATTTAACCTTAGATCACCCTGTATAACAATTTTATATAGTATATAATGGAGAACATAAAAGTCGTATATCATTAGGTAGTGGAAGGCTTCAATGACAAAATTTCAGACCTTTAAGAATTTTGTCTTCTTAAAAATCTTATTTTCTTACACTATTGGGTTTTAGGTACCATTCTAGCAAAATATATCGCGTTCCTGCGCCACAGCGTCACGGGAAGAGCAAGCAGTCCATTAAACGTAGAATGCAAGGTTTTTCAGGAAAGCAGCCGCGACGGCGCAGACTGTAAGTGATTGTTTTCCTAACCTATACCGAAAAAAAAACCATTCGATCTCGGCACGTATTTCCCGAAAATTATCCGTTTACCGATAACGACGGAATGAATCCCTTCTTTTATATTACCCTTCGAAGACTATTTACTTTATTCAGCTTGCGATTAACGTTTCCCAGTTCGATCTGTTTTCCGGCGAAACCGATTTACGCGTTCCGGTGGGATTCCGGTCGGTCTTTATCTGGACTCGTGCCCCCGCTTTTTATCGTCGAAATTAAGTGTTTAGATAGTTTTCTGGGAATTAAGGAGATTAAGTGGCGTAACACTTTCGATTCTGATCACGTGTGCAACTGTGCTTTATTCATTTGAAGGAATTCTTCACGCTGATGCGATTGCATTTTTGGATTTCTCTTTTCGACGTTCAATAATAATCATAATATCAAGAAATCCAAAATTAACCCTTAGTCACTTGCTACACATGGATGACTTGGAAATTCCAGTAACAAAGAAGAACTGCACAGACAACTAGAACTACAAGAATTTAATAACATCAGATTAATGGACAAAGTGGAATTTCCAGCACTGCCCTTGCACGAAAGATATAAAGCAGGCACTAACCGCTGATCGCAAAGCGATGAAGCAAGAGGTAGAGGAGAATCTTACGAAAAGGGTTGCATGCGGCCCAAAGAGGGAAATTGTATACTTACTTGTATGTGGTATAGTGGTAGCTGACAACAACTACTCTCTACTGAACCTGACTGCTGCAACTCCTACTGAAATAAAAACAACAACTACACGGAAGATGCGCAGCGGCCTTGCATAGCAGTGAAGAAGAGGCTGTCCATTATATATCTTACCGAGGGGAGTCTGACACGTGATACTGAGGGATTTATTCAAGCAATTCAGGATCAGGTGACGGTGACACAAAATTACATTAAGTATATCCAGAAAAAACACCTACACGTTGACCAGTGTAGGATGTGCGGAATAACACAGGAATCTATTAAGCATCTGTCGTCTGAATGCCAAACCCTAGCGCCAAAAGACTACACAGGGCGGTACAATAGAGTTGCAGGTATATTTCACCAAGAAATTTGCAAAAAATATATGATTAATAAAATAACACCGTTTTATAAATACTTAAGTGGAACTATAATAGAGAACGACAATATAAAAAAATATTGGGGCAGGGAAATGGTAACGGATAGAGAGACTTGCCATAATAGACCCGACAGTGTTGAATTGAACGGAAAGAAGGAATGCGCGAATATTTTTGACATCGCGATACCACTCGATGATAACATCAAAAGAGTCAGAAATGAGAAGTTGGATAAGTATCAGCAATTGGCCCTGGAAATAAAAGACATGTACTGATTAAACTGTATCAAAATTATACCAATAGTTATCTCCGCGAATGGCTTAATTGACCAGCAGCTCCCCAGATTTTTGAGGCAAGCTGAACTGTCGGCTTCGAAAATAATAATAGCACAGCACAGTTAGAAGAGTGAATAAAACGTTGAAAATTCCGAATACCGGAAATATAGTAAAAACGAAACCAACCAAAAGCAACCATACAATAATCACCAGAAACGTAAAATTTTATCTTTTAATGGTAAAGTAAGCCGGTGTTACATCAGGTGTAAGGTGGAAGGTGGAATAATGGATAAACCTCCTGATGTGTTGAAAAGAACTAACAAATACTTTCATTGTTTTAAAGTGATGTCATTGTCAAATTATTTATTTGCACCTAGTGCAGGTAGTGCCACCTGGGTTTGGGTCAATTTATTTGTTCTACTTATTCTTATCTATAATCGGTATGTGCGTGATGGCATCGTCGGCAATAAAATTCCAGACGGAATGAAATAGATTGTTCATCTTGCTTCCACTTATACTTCAACAGATCAATGCAAGACACTAACTAACCAAAACTAACGATCGCGATTATATTACTTGGGAGTCAGAGACACAGAATCAGTTGTACTTGGCAATTATTAATTTGACTAGTACGTCCATATTCCGGGTGTTCCTTAATGATATGCGAATATTTAAAATTAATTAATTTTAAAAATTATGATAATTAGTAAATTATTGTCCCAAGTCTCTGTCCATGCAATAGTAAATATACAAGTAAATCATATATAGTTTAAATTTACGATGAAACATCTTCATCATAGCTAAAATTACAACTGCTACTACAGGAAAAATGATCCTTGGTGTACATTAATAACAACTGGTGGTACCGTTATATCAAATGTTTTTTCTTTTTGCCAGTATTCTTTTATTATATTTTCTGTATGTGTTTTACAACTTATCCAATTTTCTTTGTTTGGAGAGCTGTCTTCTAAACAGATGCTACTGTAGTATCATGGTGCCCTGCCTCACTTACAATATTTTTATTAAAAAATATTTCGCCCTGAGCCCATACCATTTTTATGACATTAAATATACAATGGCAGGGAGGCAATCTTAAAACGACTCATTTCAGCAATCATTTCGTCTGTAGCATACGCCAAGTTTGTTTTGTAATTCTTGACAATTTTTAACAACTGACATTTTAGACCATTTTCTGGGTAATTGATCCGCTTACTGAGCAGCTAATTGATAATTTCTTTTCTTGTCGATGCATTGGTACACTAAGTCTAGAATGATATCGTGCATTATCCATAATAATTTGAGTTTATGAGTTTCTCACGGGAAACTACACATGAGAAATCTTTCCCTTATAAATTTTTTTCGCCTGCTTTCAAGAATTCGCCCTCTGGACGGAATTTCCCATTTTAAATTTTGAATAAATTTTTTAAAAATTTTGCTCATAAATTTCTTCAAATTTGCTTTTAAATATTCCCACTTCAACTGATTCATTATTATTGTGTGTTTAGTAAGAATGCTCTACAAAAAGTAGACTAAAATAAATTGGCGTCAATTAATTACTCCATAGAAAACTTGGATACATCGTTAGAAGCAAAAACTGTTTTTTCGGCTAGGAAAGCGGTGACGACTGTTTCTTGGGACAGCCACCGAGTTATCTTGATTGATTATCTTCAAGCAGGGAAAACTATTACGGAAATATACTACGCATCATTATTTGACAAGCTGAAGGCAGAAATTGCTGATAAAACGCCACCATTTGTTGCTGCTAAAGTAAACTGAACCGGTGTTACATAATTGACATCCACAGCACTATAAATACAATTAACACTCCATTGAAGTAAAGGGTGGACTTCTATCCAAAAAGTTTGTGGGGGGAGTTGGAAGTTGAAAAAACGAACAAATTTACGGAAAAAATATGTCATGTCGTAGGTAGTAGCACATTACCGCTCTCCTGAAACCTCGAACTATTTGATCTAACCGCAACAACAGTCGCTACATATATGAGAGCTGTATAATTGAAATATTTAGATTTATTTCGTAGATATTATTTTCTGTAAAAGTTTACGCGGAATAATTGTGCCACGTTCTTTTTAACGAAGCGTTTTACGAAGGTCGTTACATTTATAAGATTTCAAATCAGGGGAAAACCCACAAGAACCGTTTAATTCAAACCGCCACACCGGATAATTTCTCGGAATTGTTTGTCACAGTTATACAGTGTTACTCGCAATTACCTTTCGTCGTTAAGTTTTGTCAGTTCCAAAAAGTTTTTTGCTATAATATCATATTTTAAATTTAAGGAAGACTGAGTTACACGGTTTTTAAAGTAAGCAAAAAATAATATATGCAAATTTTCTGGATTCCTCGTGAGTCGGTTGTTTATAAATCTGACGTTTCGCCAATCATCTTGTAACAGCTTATATATTGTTTGAGGGGGGCGGAGCTATAGAATCTTTCATGTTCTTTGAGCCTAGTCGCTATTTTTCTTCCAGTCTCAATGTATTCTTTGCAGCGTATACATGAAATCTGTAAACTTCTTATATTTCAAACTGAATTTTACCTTTAATAGATGTTGAGAAATTTTTGGAAAAATGGTAAAACTGGTTTCATCGTTATATTTCTTAAGGACCTTTGAAATACGGTGAGTGATGTTTGGAATGTAGGGAAGAACAACAGTGGCAAGTGTGGGGTTGCTTTCGGATTCATTGTCTTGGAAAGGTTATGGTGAAAGCCTTTCGATTCAATCAATCATTAAATTCCTATATCAAAGCTGAAATATTATTAATTTTCTCTTATGTCATCATATCTGATTAATAGAAGTGACAAATTTTCGTATCAGGCGCAATTAGTTTCGGGGGTGCCATAGGGGCCCAATTTTAGGACCTCTGTTATTTATTGTGTATACTTCGAACATTTTAAAATCACTAACTTTCTTTCAAATTCAAGCGTTTGCCGACGAAACACAAATTTATTATTGTTTTGTTGATGATGATGATGATCTTTTGGAGATAAAATAAAATATAAATCACGATTTACGAACCTTGAGTGAACTCTCCAAAAGCCATAATCTGAAGCATTTGTTTAGATAGCGAGCTAAGATTTAAAAAAACGTTTAAAAAGTATGTTTCAAAGAGCATTAAAAATATTATACACCCAGGTAGCAGAGGCTCGTCAAAGTGACGTCATTTTCGAGAAACACATCAAATTGACGTAAAAAAGGACGTCTTATAACATCACAAAAATGACCTCAAAATATCGATACAAAATGACTTTATTAATTCTACTAACTATAAACTATAATTAAATTTTTCTATTTAAAATCACGATGTAGCTGAATATAGTTGATAAAAGTGTATTATATTCATAAGAAATATTATTTTTTATAATATACATATTTATGATATTCCAAAGAATATATTCTAGATAACCCGACCGCACTCACATAACTAAGAATTTCTCAAGATGCGTTAAAGTTTTCCATCGTGTGAATAGCAGTGTTGCTAAATCGACGCGCATTGCAAAGGTAAGATAAAAATATTCCCGCTTAAAAATAACAAATTTATCCAAATCAGTTGAATAACTTTTTTTGAAGTCAACAGTAA